AGTAATTTAAAACCTTTGTAAGACCTTTGCTCATCAATGTCTGCCCTGAGTGCCCTCAGTTTTGGCTCAAGTCATTATAAATACAGTATGCACAAAAGAAAAACAACCAAAACATACATAAAAGCAAATGAAATTTATTGTAAAGGTCAATCATGCATAGTGATTTATAGAGTACAAACGAGATGGAGGGTTTAGTACCAGGAGACAAAGTAGACAAACTGGATGAGTGAATTGTACTTGATCTTGCAAAAATCTTGCTTACAAAAAGGAAGTTGCTATGGTTTTGCCTGTTGGAGAAAATAATCTTCAAGAGGAAAATTATTATCCTAAAATTTACTTTATTGTATTGTTCCTCTAATGTCCTAGCCATTTTTTGTGATTCCACAGTGTCACATTCCTTTAAAGTTTCTATAAACCATGAAAATATTTCTCCCTTCAAAGAAACAGTATTTTTTAATTCTTGAAGCAACTGCAACATTTGAAATTTGTCCATTAGACTACTCTTCTTAGACTTCCTATTGACTATAGCTTCCATGTCATCTTTTGTGATGATATGTCTCTCCATAAACTTCTCTGCCAGTTTAGCCACCTCAAATTCCTTAATAGATTCTTGTATCAATGTAATGTTCTCTGATAAAACCTCAGATGCAACTACATGTATTGTAAACACAATATTTCAAATGTAATAATTTCACTTACTTTTCCCATTAATTTTTTTTGATTGGTCACCCCCAGCTTTGCGTAGACGAAGACTAGGTTGTATTATTTCTACAGTTGCACCTGTTAAAAAACCATATACATGCTTTTATACAGGTCTAAAAATAGGGTATTTTGGTGGCACTTTATTTTGGTTATTTTGCTGTAAAATTTTTTCCATGCATGCATTACTGATCATGCGATTAACGATTGGCAATTTAGCTTGAAAATTGCCAAAATTAATTTTTACAAATTTATTGACAAAAATAACAAATACAGCAAGGTTTAATGCCCTAAAATTGTTTTCACCACCTTGCATGCATACACCTGGCCGGCATTCATCATAACCTGAAATAACAATCGAACAATGGAATTTTTAGATCATTTTGCCCTATTGTCTGACCAAATTTTGTGTTGCTCTCTACCATTCTGTCTGAACAACAATATTAATACAAATTAAAAAAACCAGTAAGCAATTTTACATAATAACCAGTAATTACTCATGTCTGACTGCAGGAATTCCCAATATTGTAACCAATTACTCATGTCTGACCACAGGGATTCCCACACATAATAACTGAGATGAGATTGTTGGCATACAAAAAAGCCTGCCCTAATTTATAAATTGCAATCTCACTTATATATTCAGCAACTGATGTCTCTCCTACTTCACCAGCAGCAATAGCTAGTTTATCCCATGTTGCTTCAGCATCAACTGTAAGCCATAAAGCTAAACATTCTCTGAGACATCGCTCAGCATCTCGTGGATAG